TAGCCTGCCTGGTAGAAGACCTCAAACAAATACAGTGCCGCAGGTCTATCCTGCGTTGCAGGGAGCCTTAAACAACCACGCCGCAACTTTTTGTTGGATGGTGCCAGGGATCGTCGACCGTTACCAAGGGCAGATCCCGCGCCGCCGTTGCTGTTGCCATTGACGACGAGGGATGATTTCTGCATGCCAGCCAAGTAGATGCCGCCACCGCCGCCATTGCTGGCCAGTCCCTAGCCGCTGTCAAGGCTTCGATCGAGGCTCCGCCAGCTCCATCATGCCCTGCATGATAGCGCGTCATGCTAGTCCAAATAAGCAGCCGGGTCTCGAAGGCTGCGCCTTGAGGTACAGTATGAAGGGCTGCGAAATCCAATAGCGTGCGCCATAAAAAGAACCGGCCAATCAAGACGAAGAGCGAAGCAAGGGCGATGAGCGATATACTGTGTATCTTGTAGGTCGAGTACGGCGTCGGTCGATCAGGTGCTCGAGCATTGTCGCTTCCTGCGTGATGAGGCACCAACAGGCGCGGGATTGGTAGCGCGTGGAGACGGCAAGGTTTCGATCAGCGAGGGTCGCGCGTGGCGAGCTCGACGCGCTTCGGCGCGGCGGTATGCCATGCTTGGTGCGCGCCGTGACGCTCTTCGCTTAGCTTGTCATGGCGAGCTGATGCATGGAACGCGCATCTTGGAGGCGGCCGTATGCCGAACACCTCGGGCAAGATCTACAACCGCAAATCTTTGCCACTTCTTCTCATTCAGAGCTTGCAGCCGGCTCTAACGCCGAAGAGTCTGACGCCAAATACGCTAACCCTAAATAGAACGACGACTCCGACAACATGATCACTTCACAAGCTGACGTCCATCAAGTTGACGAAACCTTAGCTCCGAATGCGCTCAGGCCATTCCTTTCCCATGCACTCGCTGCTCTGATATCATACAATGTACTGACCACGAAGAAATTGAATGGAAATCCAAGTAGTGACAACAGCTGAAAGTGATTCCATTTTGAAGAAATTGCAAAATGCTGTCTCTCTGAACACCATTTCGATTTGTCGGATTCTTCTCTTCTACTCGGTCAAGTCCTCAGAACTCTTCCAGCTCCTAGACAGAGCACCGTTACTCTTTGCAGCTCCCTGCGTATATTTTATACACTCCTTGTTATTACAGCGCATCACATTTCGAGCCTAGCATCGAGTCTTATATCAGCCTCAAGGATGTTAATGCTGCAACACGGCGGTAGAATGCGCGTACTCTTCTCACAGCTAGTAGATAGCCATAATAACAAGTGTTTCTAAATCGAATCTTCACTAACAGCTGCCTCAACCATGCTGTCTCAGTCATTCCTTCTACCTGGTAGTATCCCGCTTCTTCGCCGCAAGTCCCCTTTATCTTGCATAGCTGAGTAGCCTTGAATCTTCTTAAGTACTTTTTTAACTCTACCAAGCATTAAGAAGTGTACAAATACTCCTACCTACCAAACATATCATCACCAGAATCTGAACTACCATGCGTCGGGAGGCAGTCTTCTACTCACAGTTGAGCACAGCATCTGTCGAACCTGGGAGTAATATCGCACACTTAGCTACTCAAGCCAGTCGGCCCACGTATGCCCTCGTCGTCTGAGCCACTACGTCTAGCTTCAGTTGGCCCTTCGATGATTCGAGAAGTTGCAACGACTAAAGTAATGCTGGTGGCTGCGTAGGTCCGAAAATTCCGGATGCGGGTCAACTCAACCACTAATCCTCCCAAAAGCCCAGGTCTCCTTTTACTACGAACGTCCCGAGGCTGGACTAATGCACTCAGTCAGACTATTGGGCTTGGAAGTGGCGCATGCATAACCATTAGTCTTCATTCGCAACCCTAATCGTCAGAGACTGTCGTGAGCAATGCCAAGTTTGCATAGCCCTCTCGTCATTCAGATGTATAGGTATTCGTTGCAATCACTGGACATGAGACGTGGGTATTTGAAACTGGCCGACTTCTATCTTGCTAACTGTATCACTGGAAATCGAGGTGACGATGAAGAGGATACTTATCATTGCATTTTGTAGCCCTATGGTGCGGTGTGTCTGTAGACACTTTGAGCCTCATTGAGGACAGCCGTAAGCGGTTCATCATTTCTGGAGGTAAATTTATCATCTTGGCAGTAAACGTAGTACGAGTCCAGAAAATACACGACTAACCTCAGAGCGGTACTTGAGATGGGAGGTTATTGAGCCCATTTCCCGCCTGCTTTCGATCTTGTCCGATATTAAAGTCTGCCAGGTCTTACTGCCACAGATTGTGTGCTTAACGAAAGACAATCTCGTTGCTCTCTGCCTGCGGCGAAGAGATAGCTTGACTTTTGCGACTATGGGTGGGGAAGACGGCTATGTAGAGAGTATTTGTTTGAGGAATTACCCGCAAGAAATTCATTCCCAATCTCACACCCCGCATCGAGACGCACCAGTCCAAGGGCGCGACCAACGCCGATTACTCTCCCTCGCTGCATCAGGCTCCATTCGGCACGTCTGCTCTGCAAAGAAGACCAAGAAGTCATCCTGCATAAGTGTAGTGCACATCCCTAGCCGCGATAGCATCAGAGAAGATCGTTGAGGGCAGTGATGGCCGGCGGTTGGAAGGGGAACATGGTTTGTTGTCGGCCAGGACGCAAGTGCCGGCCGCGTTGACTGCACTCATCAGTGCTAGATGACGGCTGACTTGAGCCACATCGAGACTGGGTGTGATGTACTCAATCAGAACTACCTCCTTTAGTTCAAAGTCGGCACCTTGGTTCCTGCGACCTTTCATGCAGCCGCCCAGGATCCGTTGCCTATGGCGACAATGTCGTACATAAGACAGCTCAAGGAAGGCCATCCTGTCCAGTCTAAATGCTTCATGGACCGAAGCAAACTTTGATGCCTCGTCTGCGGGCAAGGAAGCTGACGGATGACAGTAGACGGCTAGGCCGGTGTTGGTGGACAGGTGACATAATACCACGACCTCCAAAGCCCAACATCTTCCCTTTCTGAAGCCTCAGCACAATTCAAGCAGATGCACTCAGTGGCGAGGGAATTCATATCCGCTCGGATATATGCTTGTTGCGCCCAAGGGGCTAATGTGTCCACCTTCTACCAGATGCTAGGATTCCAAGATCCCCGCTTTTCAAGAGCCTGTCTGAGCGAGCTGATTGCAGGGCAACTGTGTACGGTCGACTATTTTTTGCGGGTGTGATGGCAGTGGGAAGCAGGGGTTCTAAAGCAAGTTAGCGATGAGCTACGCATTGATGACGCAATTCTATGGCAAAAAGTTAGGGTTGGAGGAAAGCAAGCCCTGCTGGTGTACGTAGCAGCACATGAGCTCACGGCGTGTGCGGTGTTTGGAAGACGGTACACGGCGGCTGGCAAAAGTACGGATGAGAAGAGCAGTGAATATGTGGCATCGCTGTATGATCATGTAGAGCTGAGACCAGGTTGTTGACGGTGAACGAGAATGTGGATGACGTCTATCCCGAGGATTCGCTGTCCTGGGGCCCCACAAATCGACCTCGAGGGAGCTACAGAACTACCGGCGCTCGAACCTAATGATCCCGCTTCCTCAGTGATGCCCCAAAGAAAAGATACTAAAATGCTAAGCAAGCAGGGCTCGAATAGGCTGTCGCTAGAGGAGCTCGACGCGAGCACGCAATTGATATATATCTACTACGACTTCGACATGATCTTCTATGACCTGCAAATGGGGAAGAGAATCGGTGGTCTGGAAAATGGAATGCTACACGAGACGAAGAGCTATTTTCATAGCGGTTGCTGGTACCACATGCTTCAGATGAGAGCAGCAACGAAGCGCGCAGCTTTCTGGGATGCAATTGCGCCAAGTTCTCGAAGACACGTTGGACGACCTCCAACACCTCCACACTGACAACCAGAACGCGCTCTATCTCGATGTGTGGCTGGCTACTCAATCTTGGATGTGCTGTTGAAACAGCCTCCGCATTTGGACGAGGAGGATATGCCCAGGAGACGTACGCCACTCGCGGTCGGAGAAGGTCTGACGTACCCTTGCACAAGCTCGATGTCCATGTATATCAACGATGACTCCGACACGGTCTCCCACGACCCGCCATCTTTGCCCGCTATGTCGCATCTCGGTCACGAAGACGTCATACTCGATTGCTATGGGTGGCCTCTGTAACCTCGGGCAACAGTGGCGCTCCTAATCATGTGCAAAGCTTCGTCGAGGCGGGCTTAAAGCTCATAGAAGCAGTCTGGACCTAACCTTGGAAACGCCCGGTTGAGGAACAATAGAACTCCAAATAATGCCTCAAGTTTCAGGTATAAAGCAGACAGCTCCCCACAAGACAGAGGCGTCCATCCTTCGAGGGAAACGTAAGATAACAATCCGACTGGCAAATAGACGCTAGCAAAGACTTCAATTATAGCTTGGAAGTAACGAGTGTGTCCTTAAGGTAGAGACCGAAGGCGTTCGCGCTGGCTTCTGGGAGTCCGCGTTGGTTGTTGCAGAGTCTGCAGCAGACGTCGATAGTGCCAGTGAATATTTTCTGCATCCGCGTTTGATCCCAAGAACAGTTGAAGTGTCAACTGCCAGCTGTGCCTCGACCGCAAGCCGGCAAGCTTTTAGTGGAGTTGGTACTCGGGACTATGAGTGGACAATAGCCTGGGCTCGAAACTATTGTTCGGGTTGGAGGTTAGTGGCTTCACGTGATCCTCCGTTGAGGATCTAGTCTTTCCTAGGGTGATTGAGCCTGAATAGCAACCTCATTGCTGACTCATTTGGGAGCGGTTGCCCTAGCTGAGATGTCGAGCATTGTCATGAGACTGCAGACACTACGACTTCTACCATGATTGAAAGGCTCAAGTCCTGGAGAAGACATACTTGTGTGTGTCGATGCTGGAAAAGGTGAAGGCAGATCATCGGCGTGAATTGAACTTGTTGGCAGTGGACTTATAAATATTCACTCGCTTCAATTGCGGGGAGCTGACTGATGAAACGTAAAGACGACGAGAAGTGGCTGCGCGAAATCTCAGGGAAACTGTCAATGTCTTCTTCCTTGAAAGGCAACCCAGACCAGCCGCCATTGCCTGTGGGTGAGTCTATCCCGCCAGGCAAGACGGTCAAGGCTGTGAGTCCTGTGTCTGGACTACCTAGCCTAATCCAGCAGCCCTGACACCTTCTCTGAGCCATTGCGCTGAAGGGTAAGCATCATGGCTACGGACAAATTATTAACAACGTGCGATGTGGCAATACTTTTCAGAAACCTAGCAGTGTCAGGAGACAATGCCGAAAGAAGGAAGATGTTGGCGCGGTGCAAACGACGGGAGGTGTTGCCCTACTGCTCTTTGGTCTTGCATGCAGCTGTGAGAGCGGGATGCGAAGTCATGGACGTCTTCTAGTATTAGTGCTTCTCGTCAAAGAACCTTACGAGAGGACCAGTTTACAAGGCCTCAGCCTTGAATATTCTCCACTCGTCTATCTTAGCATGGGCTATAGCGTGCTCCCAAGAGATATCGGCGAGGATGGTTGTTAAACTGGCTTGTAGCGTGGGTCGGTTACGGACCCTGCATTGGAAGAGGAGAATGACAGTTTCCCTGAGATGTCTGGCTGATATCCCTATTAACAGCGTTGATATTTGCTCCAACATTCACACTGTTTGGAGCGTTGCTGACCGATGCTCTTTAGCGGCCTTAAGACTTAGTACCTCTATCAGAGGGATGTCACTGGTGACTACCAGAAGCTGGGTGGTAGTTAGGTGATCCGACAAGAGAACGGCATGATCTCGGCGGCGAGTAGTTAGGCGGGTACTGAGCGTGACAGGCGTTTGGTATGCCGGCGCGGACGTGCTGGTGCGTCGATGACGAGAGAATAATGGCAGCCGTGTGTTAAGCTTGGTATGGTCCTGATCATAGAGGGAGGTTTGACTTGAGATGTGTTGACTGCTGCTCGGTAGGCACGTGCTGCGAGACTGTCGTCGCCTCGCAAGGCTGTCCCGCTGCCGCATACTCTATTGTTCGACGTGCTGATGATCATCCTAGGGACCGTGATGTGCTCGTAGATGGTGGATGATATTCCTCGGAACGACTGTGGTTCTCACCAAGCCATCGCGTCACTAATCCCAGTAGATCCGCGAGGTCTTGTCCAGATATACGCCCTCTGCGATTGTACGAACGTCGCGATCCAGGCGAACATATTCTTCATCTGCGGTCATGCAGGTTTGCAGAAACTTTGGCCTTTCTTCTGCTTTTTTTTGCTGCAATGCCCAATGTCATGTATTGCAATTTTGGTCGTCGTGTTGGGGCAGCGATGAAGGTGCTGGCACGTGACAGCTTGAAAAACTTCCTACCCCAGTCTCCACTGCCCTGCGTATCTTATGTCATAGTATTGTCTCGACGTCGCCTACATCTTTGTCTCATATCGCTTCTTCTTGCCATGCATGTCCCTATAGCTTACGTACCTGTGTATTGTAACTTCGGCGTTGCTCACTTTCTCCAAGGACATCTTGTTTGTCTCCCAAGGTTCATGCCTTCGATACCGAAGCATGCGCAGGAGATCTCCTACATTTGCCGATTCCGAGCGGGGATTTCTGCAGTTGTCGTTTTTCAGATGCTTCGACGTTGCTGACTATACCGCATGTTGTTGAGCGTAGACTGTGATAACGTGACCTAGCCTTTCACCACCACTTCACTACCTCAGCCTCGACTATCTCTGCCTCGTTGTAGCTGAATATTTAAGTTGTCCTGCTATTTTGGCAACGTGCTATTGCGCGTATCGACTGTCCGACGCCCGTCAAAGCGCCGCCAACCCCGCTACTCGTGCTTTTCTCTTTTCTGCCCCCATCGACTACTGTGTCGTGTTCCTCCCGACTTGATTCAGGAACTACACAAGAGTATCCGTCCACCTTGGAATCCTTGAGGAGCAGTACCTTCGAAGCAGATACAGTGTATGATGGGCGTAGACCGGCTAGCAGGCAACAGCAGTTGGACACGGCGGCACGTTTTAAGGAGCGAGCGGCGACCTATCCGGCAACTAAGAGGCATGCTTAGGAAGCTGGAATAGTCGATGATATCGTCTAACTGACGACAGTGCCGCCTCAGCGTCCCTGCGTCATAAGCTGTCTATCCGGCAGATTCCGTGTCTTCAGCGCGAAGGCACGTGACCACGCGTTTCGTGCCCAGCCTAGACGCTCACAACGCCACTCGCCATCGCCAAACACGCGGCCCGCCGCGACAATGTACTCCCATCTATCCAAGCGCAAGTTTAGATTCCGTGATGGCTTCAAGCTCACCGCGCCAGTCAGCGTCGCGCTCATCATCGCCGTTGCCTGAGTGGCGCGAATATTGTTCGGCTACTTCCGCCTCCACAACCACTCTAGAGCAGGCAACGGCGGCGACTCCACTACTGGGGTAGTCTACCTACAACGGTCATCTCCATGTCTCAACATCAGACCCCTTCTCGGCCAAGACACGTTGTGCGCACCGCCGACATCGACCCGAACATTTGACGACAGGCAAACCCTTCTGGAGTCGATTAGATTGCAGCCACGATCCACCAAATTCATGCCACCGCCCCTCTGGATAACTCCCGAGCAGAGCTATCTTCTACTCCTAAGTGTGGCTACATTCAACAAAATGCGATAAGGACAAATTCAACTATGAAAACCTTTCGTTCTCTTCTCAGAAGGTTGTCAGGCTATGAAATTTCGGGCAGCCCGAAGTCTCACGCTCGGGGCTACTGCGGGTCGTAGGAAGGATTATGTCCGCCTAGCATGTCTATGTCCAACTCCAGCTTGAACATAACGTCTGAAATTTCGGGCAGCCCGATGTCTCACGCTCGGGGCACTGCGAGTCGTGTGGAGCAGCATGCCCGCCCAGCATGTATAGACGACCACAAGCTCAGTTCCTCCGTACCTTTCGTCTCCACAATCGTCTTTGCAATCTCCGTTCGCCATGTTCACCGACTTCGACCACCCCTGGCTCCGCCCTCTCGCCTTCATCATCTTTCTCCTTATCTGGCATGTCCTAGGTTCTCGTGTTCTCCAGGGAAGCAGCAGGATCCCTTCACCTGGCTTGCACGATGTCATTGATATTCTCGCGGCGCATCTCTGCTGTTGTTTTCTGTGGTACCCTTCGCCATTGATCTGGTTCCTTGTCTTCACCTTTCTGAAGAGACACATTACCCTTTCACGGCTATCCATTTCGCAGCAGCGTCCCCAGAGCGAGCCAACCACAGAGATCAACGAACCAGTCGACACACTCACGTCACAATTTCCACCTAAGCCAACTATTTCGCTGCAGCGTTCTCAGAGCGAGCCAGCAATAAAAATCAAACAATCAGTCCACACATTCACATCGCAAATTCCACCCAAGCCAACCATTTCGCAGCAGCGTCGGAGCGATCCAACCACAGAGATCGACCAACCAGTCGACACACTCACATCGCAATTTCCACTCAAAGACAGCAATCGGCTCTTGAAAGACTTGCTTCGGTCACCCATCGTGCTTCCCTCGTTCCCCGGCATGCAATCGATCTATCAGCCAAGCACCCGGCCCATCACTCTTCGAAGGAACTCTGGCACGATACCCATCTTCCGTCCTACTACTGGCAACGATGGTCGCGCATCGACTACGACGCGTTTTGACAAGGGCAAGCAGCCGATGGGAACCCCCTTGCACACGGTGTCCAACTCCAAAGGTCTGCCAATCTTGACACAGAACTACCAGGGTTCGCAGTCTGTGAACTCTAACTCAAAGACGTCGCTTCTGGGCAAGCGCAAGCCCACCGATCTGAATTCACCTCGCATGAGCACCCTGTTGATGCCTGGTGCGCGGGATATCATCCCGCCAGTAGACTCAGGGAAGCGGCGCAAGCTGGACGGCTTCGCGCATATCACATCTACTAGTGCTATTGGCAAGGAATGAGACGTACCAGGACATGGAGGAGATGTATTTGGCTGCATATCTTGGAATCGTAGTGCTAGATTTCCTTCTCGTGCACCTCTTTCTTGTTGAGTGTCCGGCAAAACTACGTATTCATGACAGATCAATTCACATAATTCATCAAGATCGACTACCCATATTGGCATTTTGCATATCAAGTGCGTACATCACCTCTCCACACCGCTGTCCCAGCAAGGAAGTGCGAACATTTTAGAAGGTAACGCATTATCTGTCACATCCTTTCTCCATGTACAATCCCTGCTCCCTAGTATCATCTTCTCTTCCGCTCCCCCTTCTCTGCCATCGCCCCTCACCTCCTCGCCCCGCCTCAATTCAAGTCTTCACTCCATCCTTGATTATTCTCATCCATCGCCCACCTACCCCTTCGTGTCTCCCTCATTCAGTCGATCGCCGAGAGTCTAAGCTTCGCTTGCTCACGCTCCAACGCGGCGTGGCCCTGATGACGGCGGGACGAGTAATGTAGGATCGTTGAGGGGGCGTTTTGGCGCCAGAATGATTGGCGTTGAAGATGACGTAGCCTATTCAGCAGGCCAAGATGATGAAGATTAGTGATGAGGATATTTTGTGGTGGACCTGCACGCAATCGACAAGGTGGCGGAATAGGCTGTTGGGAGTCGGTGAATTGTCGCTGCCAGCTGAATGGTGACCGTCAGAGGTATATCGCCTCGAGAGTCACTCTTATTTGCATCCAGTTGTCGCGCCACTTTTTGGTACGTGTTAGCCATGGTACGTGAGCAAGTGATCGCCGCAGTTGTCATAATCACATGTTCACATGTCCTCTGCTGTTTGCCTTCTCAATTTCTTATGTCTTCAACATTTTTTCAATTTCTATTATGCTGGTAAACAACCGTCGTATACATAAAGATCGCTCCACGGCCCTCTATTTCCACTACAGAACTGCGGAGTCCAAGAACCACTAATGCGAAATGCAACTGTTAAATCCACCTCGCTGCGAGTACGAGACGCGATGGTGGTAGAACCGCCCTTCCAATTGTCGTCTGCCGAAATCTTGTAATCCGCGAGCTTTGACTGGTACGCTGCTGGTGCAAGCCATCGTCCGAGGCATCGCGATTTCGGGAAATCTGCTCCTGTTCGTACCATTCATTAAGGTCGGCGCTGCGCTGTCGATGCATTCTGGCGGCGTACTCCTACCACTTCTTGCGCTTGACATCTTGTGACCTGTCCAGAGCTGCGTATTTGTCGCGCTGCCCCTGAAGCTGATGTTGAAGCTCGGTGATGCGATGCTCAAGCCTCGATGCGCAACCTCCTGCAGCATTTTCATCGCCTTGGAGTGCGGATTTGGTCTCGGAGCTTTCGCTCAGTATTGTTCGCCGTCGCTATTGTATCTGAGTTTGTTGATTTGCTTTTGACGCTCTTCGGCGAGGGTGACCACAGCCTTCACCTGGACATCGTCTCCTGGACTCTGGCTAGTAGTGCGTTGGCCAAGTCTACCAGCCGGGCGGTGTCGTCGACGGATCTCGTCGTCACTTGCTTGATGAGACGCCCAAGTGCCCACAACGTCGCGGAAATGGTCATCATGGTGCTGCCTAGCACAAATGAGTGTATGCCGAGCACCGACGTGGCGTAGACGTCTGCTACACGAGAGTCCGTGCGAGAAGAGCAACGTCGGATAACGTAGGCAGCTACTTGAGCCGGTGGAGAGTTGGAAGGATTTGGAGCTGGTTGATATGGGTCCCGTGGATATATCCCCATGAGCGCGTCATTGTTGGAGCCCAAGGCGAAGACGAAACGAAAGTCTTCGCCAGTGACAAAGCGGTCGAGTCACAGGCTAGATCCTGCTGGCGGACAATCATGCACCTCAACTACTGAAATTTGTAGTCAGGCGGGATAGTCCGCCGTTGGACTGCAAGATGCTCCTGCCGAGAGAAGACTTCTGGTACTTCACTCTGCCAGCGAGTCGAAGACGGAGAAGCACCCATAGTCAGCGTGTCAAACAGGCCAGAGAGCTCACAAGCAAGAATTTCGGGTTATACGTAAGATTCTCGAGCTCCGGCGCGATAGGTAATAGGTAACCGGCCGTTACTCTGTGGACTGATTCCGTTCGGCGGGCGTGAGTCAATCAATATCTGACAACAAAATTGCTTCGACATCATTTTTAAATCCCGCTTCTGGCTTTTTATGCAAGCTCTTTATGTCCTGGCAGAAACTGACCTGAATGACCCTAAGTGGATCATGATTCTCCGAACGAAAGCCGGAATCAGGTACCATGAGACGGCCATCACCTCTCTTGGTCATGATTATCAGCTGTTACGTTGCTGACTCGCTCCTTGTCTGATGTGGAGATGTCTCTGATCGCTACAGCCTCTTGGAGCTTCGTGTCGATGAGTATCGACATTAGGTAAGCCATAACTTCGGTGGGTTGCGCCACATTGTGACGATCAAGAGACGCGAGGCGACGTACCGTGTCCCGAATCCACGAGCAATGAATATTGTGCTGTGTCTACGAGTAGAGAAATGGAATCCCTGGAAGCGCTTCTACATAGCGTCGTAATCGGCCTCTGGTAGCTGGACACTGAAACGGGTTCGCAGAGGTTCTGGGGGTACTGGCACACAGCTCCAGCCGCGTCGGTTTGAGCGTACACAGCGCGAAACGATTGCAAGGCCTGTTGGAGTGGTGGCTTTACAGAGTAAGGGCCGGTTTGAGGCTTCAGATATAGCTTTGTGAGTGTCGCAGAATGTGCTGCGTCAATGTCTAAATAAGTTAACGATGTGCAAATGCAGTCATGCAGGAGTAGATGCCTTGAGTATCGTCCGTGTCGACAGAGACATGGCTTCTGGGGTTTCGGCAGGCTTTGTGCTGTGTGAAGGCAGCGTGTTATTGGAAGGTGAGCGAAGCGCGTATAAGGTTCGAGGTGGGCGGCTTATAATTGGCAGCAACGATGTCATGGGAAGTTGGTATATGTACGGGCATGCCACGCATTACCAATGTACCGAAGCAGAATTCCGAACTGAACAGAGGCGCGAAACTTCGCGAGGCCGAACGTGGGTTTATAACTATGGGGAAAACGACATTATGCCAATCAGAAATACTGGCTACTCACACAGATTAACTGAGCGACCACACCGACAATAAAGGCATTTTGGAAGGGCGAGGCGGTGCTCCTCGTCTGAGCCACTCGTGCTTCGGCTGTTTTGTTTTGTATTCTATCCCTCGTTTCCGCCATGCCATCCATGTTCCACTGCTTAATATGATGGCCATGCTCTCCAAATCTTCTCGCTGAGGTGAACGCTCAACGCTGCATCCTGAACATCTACTGCTAAGTCTTTTCTTCTTAGACTGGACAAAGGCGTCTTCGTTCGACTGACGGAGTTATGCAAGGGCGGGATGAACGCCTACTGCTCTGATTGTCAAATTCTGGGCAGACAAATGGACGAGTCTGGGTTAAGGCTGTGTTGATTGTACTTGGGCGCGGTGTGAGCATAGAAGGAGAGGTGGGAGGTGACTGTCCAGTGGCTCTGCAAACTCGGCTTATGGCAGATCTCAGGTGTTTGAGCCGGTGTTGCAATGCTTAGTAGGGAGGAAACGAAATATCTTCGCCCCGCAGGGTTTCGCAAATTCTGCATCTCATTCATCGTCAACATCTATACTAATGAGCTTCTCTTTGTCTCTCCATCTATTATTGTGCCCCTGTTTATTGAAATGAAACTGCTATAGTTAGAAGCTACGATATCACCTACACAAGAAAGGGTGACCAATGGCAACTGATTCGCTATATTGAAAGGACATCTAACTATTAGCTTAATTACCATAAGCATAGGTCGCCTTGTAGTTCCCACGAAAGCATCAATGTCTCAAGGTATGTGTTACGCTTTATCTTGGTTAGTGCCTATAGTCTCCCCAGCGGTAGCGACTTGAACTTGACATGTAGTGGTTTTAGGGCAAACGACGACACTTCGACCAGAATGTCAGCCTACCTCGGTAGGAAGATCCAGACCAGCAAATTCAGATCCCCGAAGATTTGAAAATTTATCGGCCCGATGCGGAATCAGTATTGATGAACCTATTACTGGCGCGAGAGATTAGACACTCTGCGGATCATTCGGCGCTAGCGTTCGTCGCCAGCAACGAAGCTGGTAGTTAATTTACCAGCGAGCAGCATAAGAAGGAAGTATTGAGTAGGATCCTGGATCGTAGAGGCAACTTGAGTTTGGTAACACTTGTAGTAGATCGGGGATAAGTATAACGACGGACGTCTTTACTGCTTTTAACAGCAGCTGTAGAGACTCGAGAACTACTAACTAAATAAATAGCAGCACTGTCTATAGGAAGTAAGCTCGCATATAGATATTTTTGTGCTTACTTGTTTCTTACAACTGCACTGACCGCAGCTGCACTCTTATAACACGAAATCTGAGCCTATACGTAGACCCGAACACGGTAGGCACCAAACTACCAAATGAAGAAGCTACTTCTATATGAGCAGCTGAACAATAAAACCTTTGAAATAATGCTATAACTTGCTAATCTATGCTTGCAGATATTGATACGCTGGTACTGTTGTAGCTATATAGATATCTAAGAACATATACATATAGATCATACAAAGAGAGACCACTTCCATATGAACAAAAGATATTATGCTTTTCAGCATTGAAAATAACATTTCCATAGTCCATTGCTTATACAGCTACCGCTCCTAATCTTGTAAAGACTGCAAAGCGCTCTTACCATATACATCTTTAATACTACATAGACTAGATCTCTACATATTTATGCTACTTCTATATAGGCAGAGTAATAATGCTTATATATCTGGAAGTAGTCTCTATGCCTACATATCTACTACAAGAATAATCCATCTACGTATTCACCTAGATTGCCTAAATGCGACCTTCACACGCATCTCTAGGAGGTATATGAGTACCACCTTCATACGAGCAGCACTTATAGCAAAAAGATTTCTCTAAATATACGCCACAATATGCGTAATCATGATGCACTCCATGCATAGCATCTTTATATATCAAGTGTCTATTCTTATGCTCTCTTCGTTGCCTCTCAGCAAAGAGAACAGACTATGATTTCAAACTTTTCTCTTCATCTGAGGGTATTAAGAATACATGTAATAAGGAGGGTAATAGATACGTGGTGGAGGAACGAGCTAAATTAACTATTTCTTTGAAAACAAATCACTTCGCCTGCATACCTTAGAGCAACATGAACTCAAAGAAGCGCCTTTAGTCTTGCAGCATGCGCGATAGGAAGAAGCATTAAAAGACCCTTTCAATCGTGAAGAGAACATGCTATCGCGCGATTTTACTGATAGCATACCGAATGCAAAGTTACATCAGCTTTCCATCTCTATCTGTTCCTTCACTACTAAGTCAAACTACAGTAGGCACAAGCACCATGTAACCTCATTGAAACAGATCTAGAACAACTGAGATGTTGCAGTGCAATGTTGATGTACTTTGTAAGCGATATTGCTTGAAGATTGTTACTCATTGACTACCAGGCGCTTGAAGATTATTATTCATTGACGACCAGGCTACATCTCGCACATTTTCAGCTGCCATTCTTGTTCAGCTTCGCCATCTTTACCGATATATGTCCAAGGCCTTTCACAGCTTCGGTTATCGTATCCTGTAGGGCCGTCCTCTTTCTTTCCAAGCCCTCAACAGATTGGATCTGGTCGTGTCCATCTGCCGCTCCATGCTGCTTCACGAGTTGAGTAAACTCTGTGAGAATCTCCTGGAACAGTTGCAGTGTGTCCACATTTTCTTGGATGGACACCAGTTCATTTCGCATCTGCGTGTGTTGCTGTTGCCAGGCCCCATCAAGTGCCATACTGTGCTCATCGAGGTCTTGGACCTTTCGGCTGACCTTACGCAGCAAACCATGCTGGCGTCGGAGCATGGTGCGGTTGGATTCGACAGCGGCGGCCAGGTGGTCTGCACGACTGTTTGCCTGCTGTTGACGTGTCTGAGCGCTCGCGAGTGCTTGCTGGATTAATGTTCGAATCGTCTTGACGTCTTCCGTCAGCCGGGTAAGGGCCCGCTGAGACGAATTTTCGAGAAGCTTTGAGAGATGGGCGAGAGCTTGGCTACGGCCGTACTCGCTTTCAAGTGCCTGCAATAGTAGACGCCAGAGCTGCGTGTTTTGTGCGGTATCGACATCATGTCCATGGATGATGCGCATGGTTGTGATAATAACCCAAATTCCACAGTCATAGTTGTTCTGCTGCTGTGGAACAGACACCTCAATGGGAGGAGCCCAATGCTCAACGGTGTGTTCGGAATCCGCGGCGTCCCAGATGGCTGTGCCAATGACTGCAATTGCTCGTCGGCGATCTGAAATTGGGATGTGGTGACGCATGGAGTCGTATAGATGCACCGTCACGTCGCGAAGGTCAAAGCGGAGGAGTATCCAGTGACGGTGAAGACACAATCGGACGAGGACGTTCCTTGCTTTGGCGAACTTGGCGGCTGATATCGCTGCTGGACGCCACAAGACGTCAAGATGGCCAACGTCGTAAAAGACGTAGTCATGGGGGTGCTGTCCAGAGGTGAGGCGACGGAGCAGCGTGTCAAGTGTGCCAGAGTGAAGCTGAGCTCCGGGAGCAAGGTCGCCGGACGCTGCATGAGGGCTTTCGGCTTTGCGCTGTCGTTTTCGTGGTGCACCACCATTAGACTCACTCGCTGCCATGGTGCCGTTCTGTCGTTTGTCTACTTCGTCGCCGGTCTGCCCAGCCAGCGGAGAATTGGATCCTGAGAGCGTAGTTTTGGGTCCAGAGAAGGTAAGATTGGCGTTCAAGATTTGCGGCGACGGAATGGCCATAGCCTGCTTGTTCCGCGATGTCTTGCTCTCTGGATCTTGTGCTGACTTGGTCTCCGGCAATGACGGGTCGTTGATCATGCTCGTCTCAAATACGTTGTCATCGGTAAGAAATCCTTGTTGCGATATGGAGTCCAGGACAGAGACGTCAAGGCTGGGGGGCGACCTGTTGCTGATGCGCGAAAGCGGAGAATCAAGACCAGGATCCTCGCTCTCCCAGCCTGCGTCAGCGTCACTGCAGGCGGGCCCGGCCAGGGATAGAGGGGAGGCGTAACGCGGCTGCTCTGGAGACACGATGCGTCGAAGAGGAGTCTTCGGACGTGGGGTGTCACGTGCCGGGCGGCCGCGGCGAGAAGGCTCCCGATAGTTGAGCGAAGTACCAATCGATGTCATGCCTCGTGCGATGAAACGCTCGAGGTCTTTCACTGTCACAGCGCGCGTGCCGTTGTTGATGCTCTCCTCGAAAGAGGCGCTATGAAGGTGGTGGGCGACACGGAGCTGAAGAGAGGCAGGGAACAGGCGCTCGACGGCAGAAAGGGTCTCGTTGCGTGAGAGCTTGGCGATTTGCTCGAGGAAGGTGTGTTTGGGCGCAATAGGAAAGGGCGCAACAAGGCGCAATCGGCGGTACCAATCTGCTCCCCAAGCACTCTGGATCGCTATGATTGCTCGAAGAGGTCGTATACAAGCCTCAAGATCTCGCACCTTGGTGCTGAGCACGTTGCGCACTATTGATGGCGCTTCGTGGACGGCCGCAAAGTCTTCCCAGCTCTGCTTGTAGTGCTGATGGGTCCCCCACAGCGCCGCAGCCTGCCAGAAGGAGCTGCTGGCCGACTCAAGGGCCTTCGTTGAGTCGGGTTTGATGGCATGAAAATTGTGTTTTGCTTGGACAAACGCAGCCTTTACATCGTCGGGTGTACTTTCAGCGGCACTGGCTACATTGACGAAGGTGTCGAGGACTACCGTAAATTCATCCTCTTCGACCTGGTGCACTGCGGCACGGGGATCTTGTGGCGGCATCTGGCGGGTGGCAGCTACTGGCGGGATTGTTCGGGTTAATGTTGTTCGTTGCCGCTGGTGGTTGTTGTTATCCAGCCAAAGCTAGGGGAAGGGTTGGGGCACGTGACTGGCGGCAGGTGCGGAAGTTGTCGCTGGGCGTTCAGGTTCGCCGGAAGACATCACGGCGCTGAAGGTTCCACGAGTGCAGAACCTGGATGTCGTTGTGGGAAGGTCATGTACGGAAGGCTCCAGTTATGTACAGTTTTAGTCGCAGCCGTCGCTGGAGCGGGTTGTACACAGGTTGGCATACGGCGCGATATGAGGCGCGCTGTCAATGTCGATTTCGTGAGCGCCAGTAATTTCAGACACAAATCTATTAGTTGCGACGCGACATTTCGCTTACTGCAAAGTACATAGTAAGTTGCTTGCGGAAATCGTTACTTGCGCGTCTTGTTGTTGTCGATGTTCGCGTGTCGCTGCTAGACTAAGTTGGGGTCTTGCTAGTGGCTATCGTCATTAGCGGGTCCCCATTGAGGCGACGTCGATATTGGCTGCACTTCACGCAAAATGCATCTTAACACTATGAAGAGATTAACCATGATATCTCTTCTACATAAGCTCCTTGTGAAAGATTGATCATATGAAGGTGGCATCCGGTTGTCGAGTATCGAGTAGGTTTCGGTTACGCCCTTTGCTGCTAGGGAAGCTAGCGGTCTTCATTGCCCCGCCGCGCCTTTCGTCCAGACACGTACGGTATCTGCTCAGGACAACTGAGCGCGCAATTACCATGGAATCATGACCACGACAAGGCGATTCTCGTGCAGCCTGGTCATGCCCAAGTCAGAATCATAGTAACCCGCGCCACGTCGGCTCGCCTTGACGCGATCAACGGAGGGGCATTTACACTTGGGCAACACGTACTACGGCTTGACGTTGAAGACATGCCGCGCCAAAGCGACGAAGCAGACTCCACGATGATAGAGCTGCGCAAAGCCGGCTCTTGCTGCTTGGCTTGGCTACTGCCTGTCGACTGTTCGGGTCAGCTTGGCTATTGGTGTTAATGATCGCAGTTGTCTCCGCCGCCCTCCAATCCAGTCTCTCGTCGCAATCGGTTCTCAGATACACACCCTGTGCACCGCTCCGATCGTCATCGTCCTACACAGCATCGCGAACAGCAAAGGAGCACGGTGCTTGCGGGTCATAACAGGCAATCCTTCACGTAAGGCCGTTGAGCACGCGCGATTAGCTTCCTGCTTCTCGTAGGCGCGACGCGGAGTGAGATACTCTCATCATTGTGAGGAGCACGGCCTTCCCAGACGCAGATGCAGAATACACAAGCTCCATTGCGTGTGGCTTCTCCGATCGGGGTTGGCGCAGGCATTGATGGCGCCCACGTGCGAGTCAGGATGAGCATCAAAGTCGAGCCATCGCGTGGACTGCCCACCGAATCGATAGAAAGCAGGCGCAGATGCGGATGCAGGAGGCGGCCAACACGATCAGTGGCCACTATTTTCCCCTTCGCATCGGCTTGAGTTTGACCCTCTCGCCTGGACATCTCACTTCGCAGGAATATGTTCTGCCTCCCGCGTAGCATCTGCAGAGCAGGGGGCTCTGGTACTGACAACACAGCTGTACACCACAAAACTGAACACTGCACCTAGGCTGGTCACCACATTGTCAAGCTACATCGCAACTATCCAAACTCACCGCACGTCCCAGGGACCAATCGGATCGCAGCCAACACCGCCGTATCAAATACTTGCTGATGGATATGGGAGGGACGGGGCAATCAGCTTTATGTCTCATGATATAGATGGGCGGAAGTGACCATTAGGACTGTCGCAGTTGCAATGACGAAGACTTTTTGGAATATACAGTCGTGCACGTCTTGCTCATCTTATTGTCGTGGGCCAAGGTGATCACTTGAAGTGGGTCGTCGCCGCGTAGTGTTGAAATCCATGCGCAGGCTTCTCCTCGTCGACATTCTTGCATCGTCCTGTTTCCTTGCTTTTTGCTTCCCACACATGATCCACTCCGGCGGCTTTAGACTTTTGAGGGCGCGAGGGGGTTCTGGCTTCGAAACAAGGAAAGTCCAAGATGGACATATTAGCAGCAACCTCGAGCCCTGGCGCATGCGACGCACTCACTTCCAGCTGCTTGACCTCATAGTGCTCAGACTAGACGTTGAGACAGGTGGGGAAGACTAGTGGCCCCGACCTTGTTTCCCGGGTTCAGATAATGCCAGAAAAATCATCAGCAACGGTCTGGTACTGTCACATGGGCAGCGTACTCGCTACTTGACGCATGGCTTCATAGCCACCAAATCTTGGTTGGGGTTGTGAGCTGCGCGGTTGCAGTCTTTGCAGTCTTTGCTGATGGGGAAAAGCATGATGCTCACGTTGCAATACCATCACCCGTTTGTGCGAGTGTCAGGGATACACTGGACAAGTATGGTTCAGGATATGCGCCATGAATTTCGATAATGATCCCTGTTTCGACGTTGTTGCCGTGATCAACGCTGCGGAAATGCCACATCCGGCGAGCTTCTGCGATATTCGACTCTACATTCCAGCCGATGTAGCAATACCACGCACCAACACCAAAGCCATTGAATGTCTGACAACGGATCAGATGGGTCTCAATGGCTTCAAACGAGGCTTTTCATACGCCATCACCACATATCCATTCATAAGGGTTATCTTATTAGCATGATACTCCGCTCGAGAGTTTCCTGCACGATTACATGCCCTGTGCATCCCACACGAATCTCCTTTCTTTTTGGGGCCCGTTCTTTTGAATTTCTGGGCAAATTGAAGCGTGCTACACTGTGTGGCGATCACAATATTGATCTCGTGCTGTTTGGAGCTATCGGGGTTCCGCTTGCGACAGCGCAGCGCTTCGCATATCATAGTTCACGCTAGATGTGACGCGGTATTTCTTGGGCTCTCTGGGGCCTTTCCATAGATCATTCTTTCTACCTCCAGCTAACTTTAGTCTGTACGTTCTTGAACAGAGCGCGTCATGTCCTGGCCTGCACCTGCTTTGGAATGCCCTGGCGTGAAAGGCTCGTGGACACCGGTTGGTGACACCCAAGAGCGAATTGCTTTGGGCTATGCAAAACGGGTTGCGATTTTGTCTGCTGAAAGAAATTATTCAGGTAACATTACTGGGCATACACGATATTTTGTTAGTATGTATACGCATTGGCAGCGGCCTCTCCATTCCAGATTTCAGTTGCCAGTGACAAATCTTGTTACTGCTTTATCTAGGCCTAGGCTGCAGCATCTTGCTGCCGATCCTATGTCCACCTTTGGACGTGCCATGCGCAGCAACCGCACCACGTCCGTATTCGACAACACACTACTGCGGTGCGTACGCAGTACGCGCGGGCCCTGGTGCACGCTGACTGATCATGATTCAAAATGTTCCTCTCGGTAAAAATAGAGGATGTGTGCAGTGATGCCTGCCACGGTCGCTGTTACGCCGTGTGCCAACCGCATAGCGTCACTGATGCCGTAGGTACTAGGGCGTAAAGTGAACATGTATTCCTGGCACTACTGTATTAGTTTTAACATGCTTATAGTACCACACTTGATGAAACTGCGCTGAGAGGTTTTCGGGTCTTTCGTAGAAATCGGGCACTTTACTCTCATGATTCCTAAGACACAGGGCTGCGTGACCTCGAGCGTATGTGAAATAAAAAACTTGACAGCACTTCATGCTACAAGGCAGGTGCCATGTAATTTGGAATTCTTGGTCTGTATTTTCTACTTCTGCCTCGATTTATTCTTTGATGCTTTCTTGCGGGCGCCATAGCAACTACGGCGGAAATAGGCGCTGGGAAAGTCAAGGACCTGCCTACTTGCCCATCCTAAACTTACAAATGATATTCTAACTAAGCAACAGGTCGTTGCTCTAGATATTAGTCTACTCGACTAGCAAAATGTGACGATGACGGCTTGCAAGGCAAAAGCGGCCTTAAAGTACCCATGTTATCAGAGCAGAGCAACCAGAAAGGTAACACTGGCAAAGGAACAGCAAGCTAGGGGGACGATATTTGTACTGGGTGTTAGCATTTCGCGTGGAAATTGATCGCCACAGATGCCGACTGTAACAGCAGCACGATGGTTTTGCATTATAGAGACTGGGAAGTAATGAAAAGCGAATTCGTATGCTGCATAAATACATGTTCTAGATCCTTGCAGTATTTGCACCGTGATTACAACATGTAAATTGAAAAAAGATGCAGCAAAAGTTCCAGAGTTGTCAACAATCAAATCAATCAAATCAAGCAACCCTGTTTAAGTAAGATCTAAACCTAAAAGCGTGACCGCTGAACTGAAATAGGGTTGCTTGATTTGATTGATTTGATTGTTGACAAGTCTGACTGCAAAACTGCGATACATTTCAAGCTCGCATGCCAGTCTCAGCCATTTGTCCCAATTTCAGACTCGCAATACACTCACAAATAGCCAATGTCCCAATCCGACGATATAACAACAACGTTCACCATGATACTCTTAACACCCATACTCGCCTTGATGACCAACTCCACTTTCATATCGCTCTCCCGATCTCCCGGTGCCGGCTTCCCTGGGATTATCGTAACGCTCAAAATGCCCTCCTTACTTCTATATTTGCTATTCCTCAAGTCTGCAGACTCTTCATCACACTGCAAGTCCTTAATCGCCAGCTTCCTTCAGAAATATCTCCGAGAATCACGCATGTGGTGAGGCATTGCTTGCGAGGATGCTACCGTGGGCTCCATGTCTACGTATGTGGAAACAGGCTCCCTAAATGTCAAATCGAAATCGAGATTGAGGTAGGTGACAAGAGCAGAGTCTGAGCGCGTGGAGGTAGATTTATGAAAGGGGACATAAGATTGCGTCAGCGAGCTCAAAGCTAGAGTCGAAATGGTTAGAGACAATGAGGTGTAGATACGTAAGGAGACCAGAGAACCTGAACTCGTCGCTGTCCTTGGGAGCTAAATTTATTCCTGTGCACTTAGGGTGCTGATCGCTTGTGTCATCAATTGCGCTGGTAATTGACGACGAGTTCAATTGCTGGTGGGCTAGAGGAGGCGTCCGAATGTCGCTTCGAAGAGAGGACGGCTGGAGAGAAGCATCATTACCGAAAGCTTCAAACAGGAATAGATCCATTGTAGGCGTTGTACCATCGACGAAAACACCAGCTATCGCAGTTTCAGGAGCATTGTGATCTGCGGAAGTCAGTTAGGCAGTGTTTCTTCTGGCTGCGAGAAAATGTGACTTTTGCTTGCTCATAGTTCTTAGGAGATGTGCTTGATATGACACTTGAGATGCTGCAGTTTGCCCCGCATCGATGTTGAGGTGAAAGTATCGCAATCCCGATGATCCGACGGAGAAGCATGTGCTGATAGAAGGGTGGAAAGTGGGAATCCGCGAAATGTTATTGTTAGCGGCGCGAAGTATGGTCCAGGAAAGATCTGGCCTTCCAATACGGGCCTTGTTCTATGAACTAGTAGCTAAGTAGCCTGCCCTTGGTGCAAGCTGTAATAAGGGTGGCGGTTGAGACGCAATTGAGTGATACACTCACCAGCTATTTCTTGGCTAAACCTACAACACAGCAATAGAAAACATGATCTCCAGGAAAGAGCGGTGGCAAGAAGTTGAAGTTTTTCGACACCGGGGAGATGATCATCGATTTGTATGACTTTTTAACTGTGTCAGTGGGTGTGCCGCGTTAGATCCATGCAGGCACGGTGCCACACAACAAACGATAATAACCCCTATGCAAACACTCTGTCATCATGCTCAATCGCTAGGAGCGAGAAGCTAGGGTGCTTGCATCTAATTAAGACGGGGGAAGTCAGTGCCGTCGCTTTGCGACAAGCACTACCACAGCTATAAAACAGGACCATACCATCCTACTCAAATACGAAGCACGAGTGACGGTGTCGACCGTTCTCAGGGCACAAAACAAGCCCGCAGGCAGTGAGACTAGCCTATTAGACAGCGCCACGGCTGTTAGGCATGTTTAGGTAGATAGGGCGAGGAACCTGCTATCTCTCATCATGTGCAGCTACCAAGTCCTTTGGTACAGGAGCCACCAAACTGCCCATATTTGAAGGCTGGATTGACTTAATCATCGTTCGTATCCCTTAACACAGTATTCGTTATTGGTAGGACCTGGTTTGGGGTTAATGCTGTCGACATGGACATAGCGAGACTGGTGAAGATATTTCGCAGCAGCACAGATGACAGTAAGTTGAAGTGCGAAGTGGGATGTGTAGTCATGACCTGGCGCGATGGGTGCAGGCAGTTGGCAGCGGTGCGGAGGAGGACGGAGCTTTCTCCACTTTCCCATGCGCGCTTGACCCAACATGTGTGAGGAACAATGCTCAACACTGACTGAAGCATCGCCCCACGGCACTGACTTCCCTTGAAGGCCAATGACCATGGCTCTATGTACATTCGTCTTATTGAGCTGGTTGAATTTCTGCTTGCGACGTGTGCTTGTGCATGGCAATCCATTGGACCCTTGAAAGCGTACCTAGGAAGACTATCTTTCAACCACCACCTTCTACATCAGTTCAGATAAGATCGTTAATTGATCACAGATATGGCTTTCTTAATAGTCAGACCGCGGTTCAATATTGGTCGGCACACTCTCGGGCGCAACACATGACTCGTAGCGCCGGCGGCAACACTTGCATGGTGACTGCCGCTGACTGCTGTCAGTCTTCCGCACCAAGCACTGGATGTATTGCGAACCCGTTTGAAGCAGAGATCGCTAGCCACGATGGTCAGGTACCGTTTTCACCTCCGACCTGTTGAAGCATTGCCAAGACCAGCCACTTGACAATACCGACCACACCCAACGATATTAAATATTCATCGTATAAGGTGAGCGTCCGCTGCGCTCGGCTGGAATACATCTATACTTCTCTTTTTAAACTTAGTGCTTAAAGGACCCGGCGGGTCCCTTCCCGCTCCGTCCGGATCCTCTTGACTTAAGCCAACAAAGTGCCCGTGGAATTTCACTCGCACTCGACTCCTACCCACCCCTTTCCTTGGAGAATATATCAATACATTTCTTTCTCGCACCATTCAACCGCCTGCATTCATCAACTATGCCTAATACGCCAGCGACATATCTTCTGCGTGCGACTCAATACCATCTGCTGTCCGAGCAGCATGGCTTTCGAATTAAACAAACTCTTCTTTTCTCGGAGCCGAGCTTATCGACTCATCTGATTGCTCCTGTTACAGCCTAGAGCAATCCCCCGATTCCGTGCGCATCAAGCCAAGCAGTAGCCGCCAGCTGAACATGATTCCGGGCGTACTACGTAGTCGAGAACATAACAAGGCAACATGATGAATAATTGCGACTATGAGGTTGATGGATGCGGCAATTGGAGCTTATGGCCAATGGAAGTGACGAGGATGCTGCCCACACGAGCAGACCCGGTCATCTTCCGCCCTCGCAAAGCCGGCCAAACATACAACCAAGCCATCGCCTTAGACCATGCAGCAGGAGGGTTTACCAGCACTGCTGCTTGAATCGAGGAAATGAGCCAATGTGGGATGAGAGAACGTACACTCAACGCTCGGGATAAACGATGTTTTGCGTTCGAGGAACCTCTCATCCAACAAGAAGCAATACTTCGCACCGCATGATTGCACTTCGGCGAGCAACTGTTGCACTCGACGACAAATCCAAGGAACGCTCTGCTTACCATTGAAGAGCTCCGCAGTGCACGCAGTCCCTTAACTTCTCGTTTCGAGACTACCTTCTAAGTTTTGCTCGGCCGAGATCATGCGTTTTACTGCCATTTTGGACATGCAGGCGAAGGGTATTGCAGAACTCCCAGCTTCGAACATCGACTTCGCTGCATACGACGAGGTATACATTCATGAAATTCGTTCTCATCGACTATCGACTCGCCGGTGGCGCATAGTACTACCTTGTCAGCAACGTGCGTCCTAGGCCGTCTTCGGCTTGTAATGTCGGCATGAGCCCCTAATCGTACTGCTATCCAGCCGCCAAGTATCACGGCCTCCAACACTGAGTGTGCCGTCTGTGTCGAGGGGCCGGCGCCTCTTCGCCTTCTATAAAGAAGGACGAGGCCGGCGGTGTCCTCAAGCGCAATCAGACCACGGATCATCGGAAATGCGACACCATGTACCACCAAGGGCGAGCACCGTGCTTCGTCTAAGGCTAATTTGAAGCCGCTAACTGATGGGTTCATCGACAGCCTGGTCGCGAATATGCTTTAGTGACGGCTCGCAAACAGCAGCCCAGGGACCTTCATTACGGTGCTCAATCGTCGTCTGCGCGTTAATTCAGTTTGTCTTTACCCCACCCAAATGTCTTGTAATGAGGGCTTGAGCAGGCTTCCAAGTTTGATATCCTCTACCTTCTGAAGCCAGCCACACAGCTAGAAGAGATGCCTCAAGTGCGCTTTTTCCCGCGCACTGCACTTCTCGTCTCTCCCAGCATGACTCTTATGCTCACGATCGCACCGCACCCCATTCTGGTTTATATAAAGAGCCTGCCATGCCAACGTCGAGCACACCGTCAACGAGCTATACTGGACAACTCCACAATTGCATCGCTCTGCCCTCGGTGTCCGATACCGCCTTGTCGTCGCTACGCATGCGGCCATGCCTCGAAGGGCACTAGCATCATCTGTCGTAGCCGCATCCGGCAGCTTGCACTGCCCTCCGACATTTTTCTCCCTGGCAGGGTTACACCTAGCAGCAGTGAGTTTGACTGCGGGCTTTACGAGGTGGCATTCCGCCGGCTCGCCGACTCCGTGCCTGGTGCTTCGTGTATTTGGCGTCGCCGACCGATCACTCCCGCTCAGTTTGCCAACCCTCGCTCCATCCAAGCCTACGTCACTGACAGCCACTGACCTGCAAATTATGTGCCAAGATTGTGGGACGATGCTTGAGGATTGGTCTTTGCTCGCTTCCTGCTTGGCCAATAGGACTTAAAGTTTACAGATTTGGAGCTACTATAAATTTGATCTCATATCAACTCTTCTTTTCGTCCTTAATTCATACGATTCATCTCATTCAAAATCTTTGCTTCTTGTGCTCTTCGTTCTTACTAACGCCTACAAGCACAGAGCTTCTCTATGTCCGGCTGCTGAGACATCAGATGTAAACCAAACTGTCGGGTCCCTTCGCCCTCCGCCTCTTGTTTTGATTGTGGCGTATCCCGCACTCTGGGGCTGAGCGAATACTGCTCCATGTACAAGACCGCGAGCTTGACGGTGACGATACTAGTTAAGTCCTCCAGCAGATTATCGCAGATACACAGCGAAGGAATATAAGTGCTTGCACTTCACACTCAACTGACGTAGCTTCATCTTTCTAAAAGCAGGCCTCATGACCGCGGTTATGCGCTGTCTCCTCACATCGTCTATGCCTGACTCGCTCATAATGACACCAACACAAGAAGCGACTCGGATGATGCGAGACTTGAACAGCACTCAATTGCCTGTGCGTACCCTAATCCAATCACATTGGAGACTCACAAGTAGAAGTCGGTGCCCCTATACATCTTCTGAATAGAGCAGCTGCCACCTCAACGACCCTGAAAAGATAGTGATACACCTCGTAGACTGCCCTCTGTGACAAGCTAGAAGGTCAGCGTATTTGAGAGCGTCGTGTCTCTGATTTTTGGAAGGAGGATTGCAAACATCACGGACATGACTAAACCTCTAGATCGGTTAACAAGATACCATTGACTGCAAGCTATTTTAGAGAACAGTTGAACTTTCTAAGATGCTATTAAGAGATGCTTCTTGACCGTAACAGCCTGTATAAAAAATTAAAGCGTGCTAAGAGCGACTGAAGAATACGCATGCGATTGCAAAACTCAGGACAGAGTCAATGTGACGGGGAATTTCTCGGCAACCTGTATTCAACCTTGGGAACACGTACTGGATGGCGTCAGATTCGTTACAGAGTTGTCAACTATTAATTTTCATCGCTTTCCGAGTACTATTATCTCGACGAATCCTCTACTGCAGCTTCAGGAAGCTGTACTTTTCTCTTAGGCCCTCGCATATACATATCAAGCATCATGCGCTAAGTCAGTACCGGAGATAACGATATTTAGGTCTGGGTCTCTCGAAGCATAATACAAGTAAGGTTTTTTGCCGCCCGCCTTTAATCTGCCATGTTCGTTGCCTCACCTGTCGAAGCGTAGAATATGTATCTAGTAGACCGGCAATGCGTAATTAGATGCACAATGGCGGATTTCTCAAATCCTTCAGAGATAGACGCAACCTAACTGAAATTGAGCAAGAGGCGCAAGAATCAGGTATGCCTGAAAACAAAGGCGAAGCCACTATCTTGATGGCGACAGAGATGCATTGGTTAGTCTATTAGACGAGTATAGTCCCTAGAATACATCGGTGACTACTTGCGACGAGCGGACAACAGTTAACCCTAGTAGATATCGCAATTTTAGAACCCTTTGTAGGAGATGATGAATCTTAGCTCCGACACGTCCACAGCGCCAAAGAGGTAGTTGATGAGTTAAACGTGGATAAAGTGCCTAGAGTTTTGCCTCCCTGCATAATGTTCGCCAACGTCCTCCTGATGCACGGGAAGATGCAGTCCCCATTTACTCAAAGATCTAGCTCTTAGTCAAGGACACCCCTACGCTCATGGGGACGAGTCTGACGAGCTCTGCACTGGCACTTTAGATTAAGTGGCAAAAGCGACATTGCTTAACGCACTTGGAAAGCCTGGTAGCAGCTAACCTTAACCAACGCCGCAAGAAATCCGCAATGCTGCCAATGCACGGTGGAAACATGACGTTATGGTCAGGCATAGCGCCGTACGAGTTTAGGGAGTGAGATAGGGCAAGGGCAATCTGATACGATTGGGTGGCACGTCAACGAGAACTGACTACTCAGACATCGAGTACTAATCCAGAATAGTGGTCACAGCAATGCCAGGAGTGTGAAGACAGCGAAGACTTTGCGCGCATTGGTCACGCGCCAGGGTGACGTTAGCCGGCGTTCCAGAATCAGCCACAACCAGTCCTGTCTCAAGGGCACACAGGTTGATTATCGGCCTTTGCCGTGACTTTGGTCATGGAGTACCAGAAGAGACCACACTCTGCAAGACGCTATGCAACGCACTCGGGCACCTGGTAGAGTAGCTACTCAAAGCAAGATACGCACAGGACGAGGACATGAAACATGATGAAGAGTGCCTATTCTTGTTATACAGTTTAGGAGGTGATTTCTTCATTCAAGGCCTCTTTCTAATCTAGACTGAATAAAACCTACTTCGCCTAGAGGTGGTCTCAGCTTCAAGATTTCCTTAAGATCTTAGCATCCCTTGCCTATCAGTCCACGGCTTAGATCGCTGAACTATTTGCAACTCCCAAGACAGCGGCTATCCGCCCGCAGCACAGAGACCAAAATCAAAAACGAAGAGTTGAGAGGCTCAAACTCGAACGAGACATGGTATGAGCAAACTTCACCTGATCACACGATGGGCAATTCTTTGTGCACAGTGTTATACTTGATCAAACAACTCAGACAATTCAAGATTCGCGAATACCCCGTATATATCCCACAGCCCACTTCTCATCCCTCCACACAGCTAGTCAACCCCGTGAGCATATCGGCTCCCTTTGACCACACGATGGTGAATCTACGCGACATTCTCAACTACCCGATGACGTGCGTACGCGATGCGCTGACTTCACGCAAGACACAAATCATCCTTGACAACACCAGTCATACCGTCTTACCGAACACGTTCTTCCAGGCTCAAGACGAGCAATGCGAACTCGACTTAGACAATCATCTAGATACTGTCATACAGTTCACAAGCTGTTGCCATAGGTTCCATGAGACATGTCTTCGAGTACACATACGTGCATCATTCAGAAGCCCTACTAGCCGTTGTCCTAAATGTCAGATAAAACTCTTCCCCAACGACATAGGAACAGAACTTCTTCATGCCGAAATCAAGGAGACAGTAGCAGCTATCGGAGCCATTGCTTTTCTCGCTTATGTGGCGGTAGCTGTATTTGCGGCAGCTGTGGAATGGGCAGAATAGTGGTTACATATACGCAGGTCAGTAAATAGGTGCAATAGTAGTACTTAGGGGGAATGAAATGGATAGCTATGCTGCAGTTACTTTTCTCATTACATGCCGCTTGAAACAAGATCCTACGAATGTTGATTGAGGCTCTTTATTCGTGTATATCAACGAGTGGCTTTCATGTACTCGTCCAGAGCACACACGAGCAATCAATTAGCCGGTACAAGCGCAAGCCGAACCACGCGATAATGAAAAAGCCCTTTTGCTTCAAAAGCTCTCAAGGATGTGCAAGAAAGGAGACGGGAGCTGCGCAATGAGTCGTCGCAGCTGAAGGGGCTAAGGACATAGCGAATGTTGACTGCTTACGGAAGGTTAATGTGATAGTGGAATCGATCAGCCTCGTCTTCCTTTGTTAAAGCTACGGCCACCTATGCTTTTCCGACAACAAAACCTCTCGCATACTAACGATCCCTGTTCTGAGAACGTTGCTATGGTCATCAAGATCTCCATGATATCTATAACATCGTCGCCATTACATCCGGCTCCTTTCACAACACTACACCTTGGTTACCCTAACTCTGCCTTCGGCTGCATCTCGCGGGCCATGGTAGCTACGTCTCGCTGTGCCGTTCGCGCCGCTGCCGTGCAGGATCTTGCCCGAGAAGAAGATGCAATCGCCGGGATCCATGACAGCCAGCATGGTGCGCAGGCCAGCAGCCCGCGCACTGGCGTCCGCGCTCAGCAGATGCTCGCTGGCACTGTTATTTAGGTGCGTGCCCAGCGCCGCCTGTGTCGCACCATTAGTGGCCGTAAAGGGCGTGAGGGCGGAGAGGAAGTTGCATATCGCCTCGAGTATCTCGTCTCCCGCCTAGTGCCAGACTGGGTAGAGTTCCTGGTCGCGGTGGATGGGCTGCGCGTTCGCTCCTGGCGTGATCTCGATGACCTCGCTGGCATTCATCTAGTAGCCGTCCGTGGGATCGGCGACGAAGACGCGCTCTAGCAGCGCGTGCATCAGCTCGTGCTTGAGGAGATCGTGCCAGAAGATGGCGCTGCGCTGCACTAACGAGCCAAGCCGCTTCGTCTTCTTGCGTGACAGCTCGAGCATCAACTTCTCCTCCGCCGTCGAGGCATCGCTTGCGCTGCGGAGGGCGATTTTCTCGAGCTCAGGGTTTACCTCGTTGAGGAAGTGTTGGACTCAAGAGGCGCTCAAGAAATCTTTGATGATCACAATCCCGTCCTGCTTGAACGCGGCGAAGGTGGCGTCTGCGCCGCTTGATGCTGGGATTGATTGCATGCTTCGAGAAAGTTTGAGTGGCATTCAAGAGGCAAGAGAGATTGTAGAATGACAGTACAAACATGGTGGCTGCGCCCGACTTGCAGCGCACTTCTCGGGGCACGTGATGGAAGCTGTTCGCTGCGAGAAGGCCAGTTCAGGCGGTTTCCATATAAGATTATTGATAAGTGCCATTCGTATGTAACAATCAGATGTGTCTTAGGTAGCTATATTAAAAATCAACTACGCGTTTCTGCACCTATATATACGAGCTCCTTCGTACTTCTATATTAGCTAACATATCCTGTTCTACTGTGCTTGCGTAGATTAGATGCACGATAAGGCTCTCTGCCTTAAATTCTTATGCAGCACCTTAGACTCTCTAAGATTGTGCTCGTACTTCAACAACCTTAATATATATTATATGCGGCATAGAATTACACTAATAATAAGTCTCTAGACTCTAATACCTAGCAAATAACTTAAGCTAGAGACAGCGTCTGTTAGTTAATTTGCTTAATAAGCACTAAGAAACATAATATGCGAAATCTTATATATAGCAGGCGCTGCAGTAGCTTGCATAAATCTCTTAGAGATATGCTTTAAGAGCTTAACTAAGTATTTAAAACTAATAGCTTTATATAAGCTATCTGTTCTCTAATTTAATTACCTTATCTAAACTAAAAGAGCATTAGAAGATATCTTAATAGAGTAAGTTTGCTAACTAGATCTAGAGGATTTTCTCTCTAGAGTCTTAAGGCTATTTATAAGAACTATAGAGGTAGTTTTAATATATTATATAGTTCTAGCCTACTAACTAGCTTAGTAGAGGAGATTATATAGAGAATCTAAGTATAGGCTCTATCTTAGCATTAGTTACCTAATAGTTACTCTCTTCTAGTAGGACTAGAAGCCTTAAACTCTAAGTTTTTATTATAAATCTATATAAGTAAGCACCTATAAAGCCTAAACTATAAGACTATAAAGTAAACTATTTAAGACTTTTAAAACTAAACTATCTAGTACCTAGTATTAGTAAGACTAAACTTATTAACTAAGTATAGACTTATTAGATTAAATAGGTTTATAAGATAGAATCTAAATAATATATATTAACTTAATATATTATTATTATCTTCTTAGACTATCTTAGAGTTTTATTCGTATTGCGCTTATTACTAAGCACTGCTAGTAGGTTTTACTTAGCTGTACGTAGTTATAGGCTAAGTCTCTGCTTAATTATATAGATCTAACTCTAAGCACTTACTACGTATCTAATACTAGGCTAGCAAATAAGTATAGATAACTTATATATAAGTATAAGTTAAGATATAGTTAAGTATAAGTTAACTAAAGTTAAGTTAATGCTAAGACTATATAAGTTAGAGTTAAGTATTATATAATAAAGTTAAGTCTAGGTTAAGTTATTCTACTATAAAGTTAAGTTATAGTTAAGTTTTAGAGTACCTAATAAGTTATAAGTAAACTAAGCTTATTTTAGAAGACGCATACGTTATTTATTCTATATAATTATTATATTAATTCTAGAAGATATAACGTATTCTACTAGTACATAGGTTAACTTAGCGCATAGGTTAGTTTTACTTAGCATAATAAACTTTAGTTATGCATCTTTAATTTTATTACTATCTATAAGAGAGCTTATATATAACGTACTTATATCTAATTTAGAAGATACTTCTATATTCTTTTTGCACATTTGCGCATTATGCCTAGTCTTACTATAGTTTCTATAGCGTTATCTAGCTAGTTAAGCTCTTTCTTAATTATCTCTATTATAACTTCTTTTTAACTACCTAGTAGCTATAGATGCCTCTATAGCTATCTATATTGCTATCTTACTATACTCTATAGTACTACTTTGCTAAATCTGCTTACGCTTCTATAATTTCTACTTAGTTATCTCTACTAATTACTCTTTAAGCTTATATATCTAAGCATATTAAAGAGCATTTTTATATAGTATTAGCTTATTATCTTTTATAAGCTAAGAGAAACTAGCTTAGACTATAATAGATAACTAAAGTAAGGCATTGCGTACTAGCTTTAACTAAAATCTAAACTTATAAGTATTACTTAGAGTCTTTAACTGCTATAGAGTTGCTAGAAGAAGAGATTCTAGTAAGATACGTAGGTACACTTTAAGGTAATTTAACACTACTTACGCATTAATAAGAATAAGTCTTAAAGCCTTAAAGGCCTTTTAATAGTTTTTTTCTATAAATATATTAAAAAACGCGTCTTTAAAGGCAGAAAGAAAGCCTTTTTTATTAATATAGAAGACATATTTCTATACTAAGTTCTAGATGCGTTTAGAGTACTTACGCTTTAATAGTAAAAAATAGACTATATTAAGCAGCTAGAGAACATATAATAAATAAGCTAGTATATAGAGAGTTAGAATCTTATTCTTAATATAGTAGTTCTTAAAATTCTAGTTAAGATAGCTCTTATAGCTATCTAAGATAAGTAGCCTATATCTCTCTACCTAATATACTTTTATATGCGTATTAAAATACTTTAACTACTCTAGACTAAGCGTATTATTTATCTAGCTATTCTTAGAGACTAATAGCTTCTAATTACGTAGTATTAAAGTCTTCTTATACTACGCTAAGATATAGATACGTCTTTTATAGATAATAAAAAGCAGAGTTATATACCTAGTAGCGCAGATACTCTAGATTACTATAACTTACTTATAATTACCTAGCTAAATAAGCTTAGATTAAGCGTATCTCTCTGCGCCTATAATAATCTTTATAGAGCTAATTATGCCTATCTAGAAGCTAGTCTTATTAAAGTTATATACATTATCTTAGTAGACGCTATACTTAGCTATAGTCTCTTCTATAAGCTTAAACTACGCGCTAATAATCTCTAGGTTTTTCTAAAGTATTCTCTACTTATTCTTAGCTTAATTAAAGGCTATCTTAAGCTTAGATAAACGCGTTATAAAGCGCTTAGCCTAGTACTTACTAATAAGCTTACTATCTCTTATACTTAGTAGCTTATTAGCTATATCTACTACCTTATATAGCTAGAGCGTAAATTCTTATAAATTAAGGTTAAGTATATATTAGATAATTATCTGCTCTTTAGTTATAGTAAGCTTATAATATAAGTTATAAGTTTCTAAGAGATGCGTAATTTCTTTATATTAGTAAGTTAATATTAAATAGAGCATATTAAATGCTACAGTAGCGCGTTAGAGGCTTTAAAATTAACGTATATTATAGATAGAAAGAGTAAGCTAAATTCTACTTTCTTAGTTACTTAATTCTATATATTATTATTAAGATATTTCGTGTTAATAGAGAAGAAAGATATTCTTAGCAAAACTAACCTACGCGCTAGATTAACTTACGCACTAGTAGAATATATTATATATTATTTATTCTATATAATTATTATATTATATTTTTAGTTAAGATAGTAAATATTATAATTAATATAAGAAATATATTATTTACTAACTATACTATTATTATACTTCTTTATTACGCTTATTAGTATAGCGTAATAGCCTTATTTATTTCTATAGTAGCTAAGTATAATGCAAAGAAATACTAGAGCTCTATTATATAATATATATATTATTATCTCTATCTTTCTCTATACTACTTTAATATATACTTTTACTCTTATCTAGCATATAAATAGAAAGTAGTAATATAAGAAGATTATCTATCTTCTTATTTAGTAGCAGAGTATTATCTATTAGAGATAAAGAAAGTAATAAGTTACTTATTACTAAGAAGATAAGTATAGTTAAATTCTTCTCTACTTTAATATCTATATATCTTTTCTTATTTATTATCTTATACTTAAGAATTATAATATCTTAGATAGACTAAGCGTTTAGTCTATGCTAGTAATCTCTAATTATTTTCTTTATAGTATTAAATACTTACTTTACGCTAATTTATATAATCTGCACTACTAGTATATTCTTAGTAATCTAAGTAAGCTAAGAATATAAACTTTTATTTAATTTCTACTATACTAGGTATATTAATGCTATTCTTATTATTAGAAAGCTTAATTATAGGCATTATAAGATAAGATTCTCTTTTATCTTATATAGATAGAAGCTTATCTTTAGTAGTAGCTAAGAAGCTACTAGATAGTAACTATAAAAGTAATAGTAGCTTATAAAACTACTTTAAAGATAATTATTATAAGTTATTTATTAGTATAAGTATAGAAGTTCTTACTAATAGAGCGTTGTAGCATTTAAGGTATTATAGAAATAGTTCTTAGTAAGTATATTTATAGTATAGCTCTTATAATAAGTTCTAGCACTATAGTAAGTTAGCACTATAATAAAATAGTATAATAAATATACCTTATATACTATAAGCTTCTTGCCTAGATCTAATATAGTTGCTATATTAAAAATAACCTCTCTCTTATTAGCTATTTAAGAATAATACTTCTTTAGTTTCTCTTAACTCTTTTCTATAGCAGCTCTAATAATATCTAGCTATAGAGTACTATTTACCTTAATGCTATTCTTCTCTAGGCTAGATTTAATATTATCTAGAAAATTAAATAGCTAGTTATATATAAGCTATATATTATTAACTTAAGATATATTATTCTTACTAAGTGCAGACGTAGCTTCTTTAAACTTACTAAGTAGATAGATAATTAACTATATATGCCTCTACTTACTTAGTTCTAGTTAGAGCTTTTAGAGATTTCTCTAATTAACGTTATTACAGCTATAAGAATCTACTTAGAAGGCAGTTAGTCTATAAGTAATCTTACTCTCTAGCTATCTATTAATATATAGTTGTAATTAGATTGCTTACTTATATATATTATATATAAAATTTTATCTTATACTATTATTGCATATTATAGATAGATAAGCTATTAGAGATAATTCTAATTATAAGGCTATAAACTACTTAAAATGCTAAGGTAATAAATTAATAGCTATATAGCAAGGCTAGATTAGTATAGATATTAGTATATAATAAAAGCATATAATAAAGAGTAACTTACTTTGCAAAGTAAGTTTAGAACTAATATCTTAGTATGTATATTCTAAATATA